TTAAATATTCACGTGTTAATAGAAAATTTGAATGCTTCCGCAAATATGATTTTTTTATTAAAGTTATTATCATTCACTCGTCTTCAAAATAAAAGTATTTTGAATAATGAAAAAGATAATGGAAAAGTCAGCCAACGCTTTGGTGCTTCGGCACTGCGGGTAGCTCTCCCTTCCCTAGCCTTCTGGGCCGGGTAGGGGGTGTTACAATTACACTAGATGTACTTGGGTTTTTCTACTTAAAACTAAATCTGAGGTAAAATTTCATATGTTTTTCTAGGGCACATAAATGCATCTTTATTGGATATTCTTTAGGTTCTAAAGGATACAAATTATATGATTTAACTACTCATAAAACTTTTATTTCTAGAAATGTTAAGTTCTATGAAATGATTTTTCCTTACAAGACTCAACATACTAAAAATAATTTTGATTCAGATTTCACAAATACACAAAATAATAATATTTTTAATGACTACTTAAACAATCTCACTAATTCTGTTACTCAAAATTCAAATGATTCTAATAATACTATCACAAATTACTTGGACACTCAAATCAATGAGGAGGTAAATTTGTTTAATTCTGATAATAATAACTCTATTGCTAATGATTCTTCTAGTTTGTTGAACACAGAAACTTCTCAGGTTCATGACAACATTTATGAACAAAATACTCAAAGAAAATCTACTAGAGTAAGATCAATTCCTATTCATTTAAGAGATTTTGCTTATGATCTTTCTAATTCTATCATTCCAGGTAATCCTGAATCTTCTTGTAACTTGGTTAGATATCCTATTCAAAATTACATTTCTTATAACAAACTAAATATTTCTCATCACTGTTTCATTGCATCTCTTTCTAAGATTCCAGAACCAAAAACTTACAAACAAGCTGTTAAATTTACAGAATGAAAAAATGCTATGAATGATGAAATTAAAGCCCTTGAAAATAATAATACTTGGATTCTTGTTGATCTTCCTGCTAATCAACATACTATTGGTTGCAAATGGGTTTTTAAAACAAAACTTAAATCTGATGGATCTCTTGATAGATATAAAGCTAGACTTGTAGCAAAAGGTTACACTCAAGAAGAAGGCCTTGATTACTTTGATACTTTCTCTCCAGTTGTAAAGTTAACCACTGTAAGAATTCTTTTAGCTATTGCCAGCTCTAAAAACTGGTACTTACATCAATTAGATGTAAATAATGCTTTTTTACATGGTGATTTGAATGAAAACATTTATATGCAACCCCCTCCTGGTTATTTAGAAACTAATGATACTAGAGTTTGTAAACTTCTTAAAAGCTTATATGGTTTAAAACAAGCATCTAGACAATGGTATTTTAAACTTTCTGAATCTTTAAAATCTTTTGGTGATGGATAGTCTACCCGGGGGTATATATCCGAAGGGTTATTACGGGGAATAACTTAGAGAGAAGTCAGAGCAAGTAAGTAAAAGTAGAGAGAAAATGTATCCAGTATGAATGCCGTTTTCAGCGTGGTTACAAATGAGGAAATGGGGTGCTATTTATAGTAGCAATAAATGCCGGGCAGGGACACGTGTCAAGCGCTCATTGGCCGAGGGGTCACCTCAACTGGTTGGCGCTGGCAGCCGCATGTGGCCGCATTTAATGCGGCTGTTGGATGAGACGTCTGTACAGGGTACGGTGATCTGTACGCATGTGAGGTGGATATCTTGTCGAGTGAGATGCCTTCGGTTATAGAGTAGTAGCTGAGGGCTCCTCCAACCGATGGCACCCTGGTGCCGAGGGCTCACAGTGCTGAGGGCTACTGTTTTCGCCGTTTTCTCCCAGTTTCTTAGTTTGCTTGAGAAACCCGTTCTGTGAGAGTTTAGAGCCTTCGGCCAGGGGGGCGAAGGCACCCCTGGCGCGTAGTGCGGGCTGCTTGGTACTCTGGGCGCTGTGATTTGGGCCTGTTGGACCTTCTGGGCCTGTTGGGCCTCTAAAGGAGTAGTAGGAGTCTGTGGGCCGGGGGTTCCCGGGCCATATACTCCATCAGGAGTCCCTCACTCCTTTTGCCGAAAGGTACTTGAGGGAAAAGGAGTAATTTGTGCTTGCCCTTTGATGTTGTCCCGTCGTGATCTCTGAAGTTGGTGAGGAGTTGTTGCTTTTATGTCCCTGCCGAAGGCAGTCCCTCAGTTATCCACATGTCGGGACTTGAGGACTTGCCTTGTCGTTTGTTGGATTTTTACTAATTTTGTAATTTAATGATTTTCCCGAGGGGGTCCTCCAGTCCCCCACTCCTTGAGGCACTTGTAAAGTGGTGAAAAGGAGTAGAGTAGTTGTGTTGCTGTTGTGGGCCGAAGGCTGACGCTTTTCGTTTCATTTTGGGGGGATGCCTCGTTAAAAACCTCATTAGGAAAAACCCTGTGGGAAAAAATCCTAATGAGGGAAAAAGAGTGCACCGAATTCCCCCAATGATGAATCGAAAATGTCAAACCTTGGTAAAAAATGGAGGATAACGGGAATGCCGAAGGCTCTCTCTTCTGAGGGCTCCTGTGTTGATTAGCCGGAGGCTTGCTGTTGATGTCCTGGGTGCGCCGAAGGGGAGCCCCTCAATCAGGGGATCGAGGGCCCGCTGGATGAGGGCAGCAGTGGAGTTGTTACCGGGGGGTCCACTGTTTGTTGATTAATTGGTGATGAAGATACCCGAGAGCTCCCATTACCTGTGTGCCATGGGTCACCCGTCAATGAGGCAACTCCCTGGGGGCTACCCGGTTTTGCAGTGCTGAGGGGGGATCCCCGAGGGGCGCCCTGATATGAAGCCCTGGGTTTCTGAAGGAGTGATCCCGAAGGCGTCTGTTATGTGCTGTGTGGGGTGAAGTAGAAAACCCGGGGGCTTCTGGGTAAGTGTACCCGGAGGCTATCCTCGATGAAGTGGAGTGAAGTAGAAAACCCGGGGGCTTCCAGAATATAGCCGTTGGGAATATAGTCGTTGGAATATGTAGCGTCAGATTTATAGCCGTTGGAATATGTAACGTCAGGTTCATAGCCGTTGGGGGGGGTACACGTGGCGTGTGATGGCTGGCAGTCCGTGGGCGGCGTCACTGGTTGGGCGAAGACGCGGTGTGTAATGATGGCGCCCATCCGGAGGCCCGGTTTCCGGGCCCAAGCCCGGATTCCAGCGCCTATAAATACCCCAAGGCCAGGGCCATTCCTTCTTGTGCGATCATTTGTTTTAGCGAAGCTCTGCCGAAAATTCTAGAGAGAGAAACTCCAGCCTTCGGTCAAAACTCTGCTTTCAAGGTCAGTGCCCGTTTTCCTCTCCAAACTTTTAGTAAGTTCCGCCCTCTGGCCTTAGATTATGGTTAGTCCTGTAGAAAGCCTTCGAAACCTTAGACACACTTCGTGATAAAAATGTCGTCCAAGAGCGATTCCCAGGACATCTCGAGGACGCCCTCGATGGAGGACGAAGGCATCTCCGACGTGGAGTCCAGCAGTGGTCAGCCCTCGGATGGTGGTGATGCAGCCCTCGCCACTGAGGTGCAGAAGGATCTGATGGCCGAGGCCGAGGCCGAGGCGGAGGAATTCGAGCGAACTGCCAAGGATGAAGAGTTGGCCCTCGCCGTCCAAGTTGCTGAAGAGGAGGAGGAAAAGGAGAGGGCGAAGGTCACTGTGGCAGTCCTTCCCCCTCGGGGTGCTGGTGAGGCCAGTACTTCCCAGCCGCTGAATGCATTTCCCATCCGGGTGGCCCCCGGGAAGAAGAAGGCCAAGGCAGCTGCCCCCAAGAAGAAGGTTATTGCTGCTGATCAGGGGAAACCCGTAGATATGCCGGAGGGGTATTCCTGGCTCAACACGGCTGCCTTGGAGATAAAGTCGAAGGCGGACAGGGCGGACCTCTACGTGACGCAGCTACATGTAGGGCCCTCGGCCGTGGTGGTCGAGCCGGGAGTTGACGACGTGCTCTCTCGAGCGCCTGAGGGGTGCATTGCAGTACACGTACTGTCGGTCTCCATGGGCCTTCGGTTCCCTCTGCACCCCTTCCTCCGGGAGTACCTGAGGTTTGTTGGCTTGGTACCCTGCCAGCTGACACCTAATAGCCACTCCTACGTGGCGGGTTTTTTAAACCTCTGTAGGGACCGAGGGGTGACCCCCAGCCTGGACTTGTTCTTCCAGAGCTTCAACCTCTGTCGAGGGGGTCACGCGAATGCCGAGGGCTTCGCCAACCTGCAGCAGGTGGCCAGGTGGAAGCTGTTTACGGAGGCGCCTTCGTCCAATAAGGGCTGGAAGGAGCGCTGGTGCTATGTCAGGGTTGCTGAGAACCCATTTCCGGTGGAACTTCGGGATCGCTTCCATCGGCATCCGAAGGTTGGAAGCGCCGCCCTCGAAAAAGATGGCCTGGTGATAGCCAAAATCCCGGAGGGTCGTACAAAGCAGGTCTCCATCAAAGACTATACTGCCGACAAGGGATTCTACGCCCTCGGCTTTCGGAGATACCGATTTATTGGGGAAGCGGACGAGAAGTACCCCATTTTTGCTGAGGCCTTCAGGGGAACAGGAGGTAGTCTACGAGGTCCCTCGGTTTTCATATCTTAGCACATAGCTTATCTTGTTCGTGTTTTTTTTTTCTTTTTATTCTTTGTGCCTTCGGTCAGTAACCCCTCGATTTTAACCCCATACCTTTTTTTTGCAGGTGTCCCAGTGAAAATGATGAACGTCAGAGGCCTTGCAGACCTGAAGAAGAAAAAACCCTCCAAGGGCCCGAGGGGGATGGACGCCGGTGTCCCAAAACCCGCCGGTGACTTCTTCAAAAAACCGGAGGGGCCGTCGGTGGGCCCAAGTGCTGATGCTGCCGCTGCCGCCAAAAGGAAGGGCTCGGGCAGAGATCCCGAGGGCAAGAAGCCCAAGACCGGGGATGCCGGGAAGAAAGTCCCCCCGGTGATCATTGTTGATGAAGGCCCTGCCTCCGGGGCGAATGAGGACATGCAGGTGGCGAAAGTGCCGCCGGGAGTTCAGGGGCCATCTTCCGAGGTCCTCATGGTTTCCCTCCTGGCTGGTACGGCCGTGATGAACGGTACGGCCGACCCGAGGGCGCTTCTGAGAGGCATCACCCTCGAGATTGACAGAGTAGCCCTCGGGGCTGATGAAGACGAAGCCCTCGAGGACAGGATCCTCCGGTCTTCCCTCACAGTAAGTCTTTTATGTTTATTTCTTTCTTTTTTATTTCGAGCTAAGAAACCATGTTTGGCCTCGCTAACCCCTTTGTTTTTGTAGACCTGCATTGCCCTCGGGGAGCAAGCCCGGCGGCTAGAGGAGTGGCGCCTTCGCAAGGCCGAGCAGGAGGCCAAGATGCGGGAGCTCATCCGCCAGAATGCAGACGCTGTTCGGCAGATGGCTATGCTAAAGGAGAGCCTTCGGCAGATGACCCTGCGGGCGGAGGCCGCAGATCGGGGTAGGGCAGAAGCCGAGAGTTCCGCAGCTGAGGCCTTGGAGAGAGCTGTCAAGGAAGCCGAGGCCGCGAAGGTGGAAGCCGTCGAGAGAGCCCGAGGGGACGCAATCTCGGGGTTCTTGGTAGGGGGGTGGCGGTCCGAGGAGCACAAGCAATGGCTGTCCTCGGTCGTCGAGTCCTCGGATGACGAGTGGTGTGATGGGCCTGGCGTGGAGTGGGTTTCCCGAAAGGGTAAACAATACTATGATGGGGGCGAGTTTTTCACTCAAGCCCTCATCTACCGGAGGATGGCTCGCCACTTGAAGATCGAGCCAAAGGACTTTGACCCGGCAGCATACGGGCTCCCCCCTGCAGCCAGACATCTGCGTTCCTCTTCCCCCCGATGTCGAGAGGCCAGACCTGGAGGACTCTGAGCTCATGAAGGAAGCCGAGGGCGACGAACCTGAGGCCGACGCAGAAGTCACCTCGAAGCCATCGGGGGAGGTGGCCCCCGGGAATGACATTATTTGATATGTATTTTGTATTATGTAAACATGTATTTGTAATGGTGACATTATTCATCCTTCGGCTTCGGCCTGCTTGTAACATTTATTCGTAATCACATTTGCCCTCTGTTTGTTGATGATTGAATGATTGCCTTCGGGCTGTGTTTATATGACTTGTTTTCTCCAATTCCTTTCTTCTTGAATGTATGCCTCCGTTTTCCTTGAGTGTATGCCTTCGGTATTTTTGAATGTATGCCTTCGCTCCTTTGAATGTGTGTTTTAGGACTTAGAGTATTTTTTTATTGTAGCTTGCCCCTGGAAGCCTTCGGTAGTTGGGCACCCTCTGCTGGATATGCAACCGAGGGTTCAGCAGCAATTAGGACTTAGAAATTTTTCCTAAGTGTAGCACAGCATGAGGCCTTCGGGCGTCTGTAGTAACCCAAATCCTAGGACTTAGAAAAATTTCTAAGTGTAGATTTCCCCTTGAGAGCCTTCGGGATATGGCATCCCTTCCTGATGTGTGATTGTTGGACCGAGGGCCCAATGTACAGGACTTAGAATTTTTTTGCAAGTGTAGTACGTCACGTAGCCTTCGGCTACTGTGGAGCCTCAACTGAAATATTGAGTAGGCCGGGGGCCAATTCTTTAGGACTTAGGAAATTTTCTTGAGTGTTGATTCCTTGTGTACTGTAGCCTTCGATTGATAGGCAGCCTTCGGCGATTAGGTCCCTTGAGATGAGGGTGAAATATGTAGGACTTAGAAAATCTTCTAAGTGTAGAGTTTCCCTTGGGAGCCTTCGGGAGATGGCGTCCCTCCATGATGTATGAGTAGCTGACCGGGGGGGGGGGGGAAATATGCAGGACTTAGAAAATATTCTAAGTGTAAATTTTCCCTTGGGAGCCTTCGGGAGATGGCATCCCTCCTTGACGTATGAGTAGTTGACCGGGGAAAAACATGTAGGACTTAGAAAATATTCTAAGTGTGGATTTTCCCTTAGGAGCCTTCGGGAGATGGCATCCCTTCTTGATGTATGAGTAGTTGACCGGGGAAAAACATGTAGGACTTAGAAAATATTCTAAGTGTGGATTTTCCCTTGGGAGCCTTCGGGAGATGGCATCCCTTCTTGATGTATGAGTAGTTGACCGGGGGGAAAACATGTAGGACTTAGAAAATATTCTAAGTGTAGATTTTCCCTTGGGAGCCTTCGGGAGATGGCATCCCTTCTTGATGTATGGCCTTCGACTGTCATATTCCTCTAGCTGCAATACTGATTGAGCCGGGGGCCCATCTTTAGGACATAGAAATTTTTCAAGTGCTGCTTCCTTGTGTAGCCTTCGGGTGATAGGTGCCCTCTGACTCTACATTACTTTGCGAGATGCCCGGGGCTGCTCATTCAGGACTTAGAATTTTTTCTAAGCATAAATTGATGTTGAATCATGTTGCTGTGAAGAAAGCCAATGAGGAGTGTGTGCCCTCGGCATACACTTTAAAAGTTGTAGAAGTTGACCCTTGTCATGGGGAAAGGGCCCTCGGTACTAGCGCGTAACAGATGCCTTCGGTATATGTTTGAAGGTACCGTCTTAGTGTACTTTGGATAGTCCAGTCCCTTTGTATTGTTGAAGCCTTCGGTGTTTGTGTGACCGGAGGTGACCAGGCAGTGGACTTAGCCGTTTCTCGATGCTATTTGTTCGAGTAGTATCCTTCGGGAAATAGGAGCCTTCAGTTACCGGAGGTGTTCCCGTGGGGAGCCCTCGGCATGTTGTGATCTTGTTGGAGTGTACTCTTTGATTTCTCGCTGAGTCTACTCCCCTTCACCCCCCCCCCCTTTTTTGTGGTTGGTGGTGAAGGGAAGGCATCAAGGAACTTGGTTTCTTGGTAAGGCTGGGCCTATTAGGAGACCATCAGAATACACCAATGGCTCTCCTCCCTCGGGTTAACCTTCCGAGTTCCGAGGGGATCGAGGGTCGTTTCCTGGGCACAAGATATGGTGGTCCGTAACCTGCCTCCCCTTGGGGGATGGCGCGGAAAGCGCCTCATTTTTGAAAGTCGTCCCCTCGGTGCTAGACATAGTCCGTGGCCTGCCACACCCTTGGGGTGATGGCGCGAGGAGCGTTTCGGTTTGGAAGTCGAATCCTGGGCATTTCTCGTGCCTGTCACACCCTTGGGGTGATGACGCGGATAGCGTTCCGTTTTTGAAAGTCGAATCCTGGGCATTTCTCATGCCTGTCATACCCTGGGGGTTAGACGCGAAAGCGTTTCAAGGAAGGGTTTTCATTCGCACACTAGTTGCAAATGGCCGGGGGCACTACGTGCCGCCGGCACCGATGGTGGCGCCTTCGGTATATGCGTCCTCGTGGGGTACGGCTTTTAGAAACAACACTTGGTGTTAGTTTCGATGTGTAGCCCCCGGTACTTGGTACCGAGGGGTCTTCTGTAGGAATACTTGGTGTTCTCTTTTGTCGTAGTTGATGTAGGCGTCTACCCTCGGTACTTGGTACCGAAGGGTCTTCAAATGAAACACTTGGTGTTTCCCATTAGATGTTTGGAAGTTGATAGGAGAGCATATCCCTGGCACTGGGTGCCGAGGGGTCTTCTTTGAAACATTTTGGTGTTTTTTTTCTTCGTTTCGATGTTTGATGATGGAGGTGTACCCTCGGCACTGGGTGCCGAAGGGTCTTCTGTAGGAACACTTGGTGTTCTCATCTTTTCTTTTTTTTTTCTTTTTTTTGATGTTGAAGGTGGGAATGTACCCTCGGCACTGGGTGCCGAAGGGTCTTCTGTAGGAACACTTGGTGTTCTCATCTTTTCTTTTTTGATGATGGAGGTGGGAATGTACCCTCGGCACTGGGTGCCGAAGGGAAATGAAACACATGGCGTTCCTTGTTGTTGGTGATAGGAGTTCCCTCCCTCGGTACTTGGTACCGAGGGGTCTTGACTGAAAACACGTGGTGTTTTCACTGTTTGTTGTAGGTGTTGATGGTGTCCGCCCTCGGCACTTGGTGTCGGAGGGGGTTCTTCTCGTGGTGAGGCCTGGGGCCTGTAGTCAGTATGAGGGCTTGATGTCTTGAATGTATCTTCATTCTTCGAAATTGGAGGCCTTGGGCCATAGGATAGTACATTCACTAGTTATGAGGGCTTGGCCGCTCTTACATTATTGATAAAACTTAACTAAATGGTGTACATTCCAATGCATAGGGACTTCTTTCCCGTTGGGGCGTTTGAGCTTGTAGGTCCCAGGTTTGATGATGGCTGCTATGATGTAGGGGCCTTCGAATTTTGGTGCCATTTTTCCTCCCTCGGTTGGTTGGCTGGCTTCCCTCCTCCGGAGGACATAGTCCCCCACTTGAAATTCTCGGGTGCGAACTTTGGCGTCGATGTAGCTTTTAACTTGCCTTCGGTAGTTTTCTGCCCGGATGAAGGCCTGCTCCCGGCGTTCTGAAATGAGGTGGAGGTCGAGGGCCATGTTGCTGTCGTTGACCTCGGGGTCATATTGGATCACCCTTCGGGTAGGAAGGGTGACTTCCGTAGGAGCTTTGGCTTCAAAACCGTAGCAGAGGGAGAAGGGTGTTTCACCTGTTGCTCGCCGAGGGGTGGTGCGGTAGGCCCAAAGGATGTTGTGGAGTTCTTCCACCCAGCCACCGCCCTCGGCCTCCAGCTTCTTTTTGAGGCCCTCGAGCAAGGTCCGGTTGGCGTTCTCTACTTGCCCGTTGCCTTGAGGGTAGGCAACGGAGGAGAAGGTGTGTTTGATGCCCCAAGCCTCCAGAAGGGCACAGAAGGGGGCTGCCTTGAATTGTGTCCCATTGTCGGAGATGATCTGCTGGGGGACGCCAAACCTTGTGAGGATGTTCTTGAGGACGAAGTGATGGCACTTCGCCTCTGTGATGCTGGCGAGGGGTTCAGCCTCCACCCACTTGGTAAAGTAGTCGACGGCCACAATGATGTATCTGTTGTTGGAGGTACCCCTCGGCAGAGGGCCCACAAGGTCTATCCCCCATCGAGAAAACGGGACAGAGGTGCTGATGGGGGCATAGTTGACCGCTGGCTTGCCGGGAGCTTTCTGGAAATGTTGACATGCGGTGCACCTCCGGGCAAGGTCAGCACAATCCCTGGCCATGGTTGGCCAGAAGCAGCCCTGGAGAATGAGCCTTCGGGACATGGAGAAGGGTCCCTGGTGAGCTGAGCAAGTGCCACTGTGCACTTCCTCCATTGCGACCTCGGCTTCATCTGGATGAAGGCACCGAAGTAGCGTGCCATTGTAAGATCGTTTGTAGAGCCTTCCATCTTCGATGGTGTAGCTATGAGCCCTCAGCTTTGCCAGTTTAGCGCGGGCCTCATTCTCGGATAGCTTCCCTGTGGAGATGAAGGTGGTGATATCTGAGATCCAATCCTCTTGACGTTGTTGTATGTTCATAACGGGGCTTGCATGGATGCTTGAGAGGTTGAGTTCCTCGATTTTGGCAATTTTGGAGATGTGCTCGGGGGAGTCGGCCGAGAGCTTAGATAATATGTCGGCCTCGGAGTTCTGAGCCCT